ATCTATCTATCTATCTATCTATCTATCTATCTATCTATCTATCTATCTATCTATCTATCTATCTATCTATCTATCTGTCTGTCTGTCTGTCTGTCTATCTGTCTGTCTGTCTGTCTGTCTGTCTGTCTGTCTGTCTATCTAGCTGTATATTTCTCTTAAATCAAATGTGCAACATTGACAGTATGCCTAACAATGAATACGAATTCAAAATATAAATAAGGCATAATTGTAATTTACACTTTCATGTTTTAAACTTGGTTTCCAAAACATTTAGTTTTCAATAACATCCTGTTTCCCTTACTGTAAGTATATAAGTCAAAAAGTGACTAATAAAATAAAGTGACTTGCCATCCATGTCTATCATTAGACAACACTTAAAAAGTATAAACCCTTGAAACTGGGACAAAAAAGGCTGGACAAGGAGTTAAGGTCACCAAAGTAAGGATGAGGGTAGGGAGGTAAAAGATACAAATCTCTAATAATACAAGTAAATTTGAGCTATTTTCAAAGTGATTTAAAAAATATTTCTTCAGCATTGTAATAACGCAATTAGGCCAATAACTTCACAAATATTTTGCTAGTAAATATGTGAACAAGAAACTGTTCTCTTCCTGATTGGTGGCATATTTCACACACTTACATCTACTAATACATAACATTAAGAATATACTTGATCAGTTTAATAGATAAATATTTTGTTCAACAAAACACTAATTAGGCAGAGCGCTGTACTGTACAGATTTTTGAATGAATAAATAGGATGTCTATGTCATTCATATTTTTCAGTCAGCAATCAGAACAAATAAAGCAAGAAATAAGTAATATTCACACATAGAACAAATTAAATATAAAGTTTCAGTGTGAGAATATGCTACTGTGATGTAAGAAGAATCAGTTTCAAAGTTTCTTTTTTTTTCCTGCTAAAATTGCCACAATAGAGGCCCTGTGTTAGTTGGAATACTTACTGTACTATAGTACATACCTGTACATGCATTAATGCTGTCATAAGTATAATTGTTTGCATAAAATCACTTTAAGAAACATTAAAGTCTAGAAAAATGCAGCAGTGCATACATTTACTTACACACTGCATGCTTGTTTTTACAGAAACATTGATGCAACAGGCGCTTCCTGTTAAATCATCCTTTGTGGGATGTATTCAAGACATGAAGATCAACGACGTATCAGTCTCCTTTCACAGGTCATCAAGTGTGTTTGGCCCCGTCAACCTCAAGGAGTGTCCAGGCTGAGCAACACACCTCACCGCATTATGACTGAACAAAGCTTGGGACCATTTTGTTCACCCACTATGTGCAATCTGTTAAAAGACAGAGAATGTGTCTGTGTGTGTTTCTGAATGAGTGTGGGCAGGGGGGGAGAGGACATGAGATGTGAGTAGCATATTCACCTCACAGGATCCTCTGTCAAACATTTCTGTATTTATTTTGTGATCAAACCATGGCACCAATTGTTGGACACATTTTCCAACTGTAACACAAGTAGATGCATGTCTCCGTTGATCATTTGTCAACAACCAAATGCTACTGAAAAGACTGGTGATTGACTGATGGGGGGAATTCACTATGAAGAACCCAGCACTTTAAGAGAACAGAGGTTGCCTTCTCAGATGGTGCTGCAATTGCAATGAAGATTACTAGCTTTGTTGTTGGATTGTAGTTTTTCTTTTTTCAAATTTTATTCTAGAAATATTATGTTTACACCTGCGGTGCTTGTCATTGCTATTTCAGGGGTCTCCAAGCTATGATGTATTTATTTCCACCAATTGCATGTAGAGTTCTGCTTTGTAACTGGTTTAAAACACACGTGTTCCTCACATTTTACCTGAATTTCCTTGCCATTTTGCATTCCTTTTTGCATGTGCCTTTTGCTCACGTCATGAAAGAGCATGGTTTTTCATTTCTGTTTATTCGTTTTACCTGTTAAGTAACCTGTAATTTGTGCCATAAGCATAGGTTTCATAGCTTTGGTCAGTGATAAATTGGGACCATTACCAAAGAGCTGAATGCAATTCAGCACAGAAGTAAATGTATTAAAGATGCTTGAAATTTCCCAGCAGGTGTTTACTTTTCTGTTTTTTTTACATTCATTCTACAATTATCGAGAAACATGATAAAATGCAGTATAATTAGACGTATTTGGACATGCATTCCTGCCTTATAATGACCGATTTATAAACGTGTTTGATTGTTTTTTTTTTATAGTTTGTGGCAATAAAAGATTTTTTGATTTGTGTTTGAGGTTGTTTTTGCTTTTTTAATTCTCTTTTAATGTTTTAATCAGAAAAAATTATTTAGATATCTTAGCTCGGTTTTTGTGGTTAGAACAAAGAATTGCATTCAACAATATGGTCGGATCTTGATAAATTATCCCTCTTATTGGTCCTTTTTTCTTTATAATAAAACATTTGAATGATGTGCGAGAGTAAATCGCTTTGATAAGGATTCAAAGACTTTGTTTAGTTGCTATGGTAAAATGTGTTTGAAGTATTAATAATTGCGATTTAATAAACCCGATCAAACTTATTAAACATGTGGCTTTTAGATGTAATGTTTTTAAACTGTCCTCTAATCCATGACTTGTATTCAATTTATATCATTCAAATTTTATTATTTCAGCAACAAACTGCACCTCATGTGATATCATAAAGACAATGACAAATTGACAGACGCAAAGACAGATAAATTCAGATTGGCTAAAGACAAGAAAGTGTCCCTTAGTTTCATGTTACTGCAACCAAAAATGGGAAGTTAGTGTTGCATGTAAAAAATGACAACATAGATATCTGCAAGGTTTCAGTGAAATATTGCAATATATTTAACATGTTGAATATTAAATGTCGGATGTATGTCATCATTTCATGTTGTACTGTAGCAAAAACATAGTTTCTTTGGGTAAGGTATTGTTGAAATTGTGATAATATTGGCTTATCAGCTAAAGCAGATTAAATTCAGCTTCTAAATATATGTTTATATATGACTTGTCAGGCAACTGAATGAAAAAACAAGTTTAATCTTTGTTTTGAGATATAAAAACATGATTTAAAATTCTAGCTTGTGTCAATACAGATTGAGTAGACAATGTAATTTGATTTTTATCTTATTTTAGGATTGTGAGACAAATTGACCAAAAAAGAGAAAAATATAAAACTATATAAATTAATAAACTTTCCCATGTATCCATATTTCATACAGTGATATACTGTGACTGCAGGGGGCACTGTTTCTCTTGTGCTTCAGGGGATTTTTACATGTTGGGATGAAGCATTAGCCCTTTGGAAAACACAAGATAACCAATCAACAACAACAAATTAATAATGATAATAACCCACTGATAATAACTGCTACTACACCAATTAAGAACTCGCTTTGAAATTTATGTTAAGAAAAATAGGAGAGCTGAGTTCTGTGGGAAGGTGATAATTCCGGATGCACTTGAAAGCAGCACATTTCCTGTCTCCACAGGAACCGGGGCGGCCAGACAGGCGGCACAATACGGAACAGAGCGGCGCGAGCCTTCAGACGAAACAGCGGTCAGCCCACACAAACAGTAGCCGTTATGTCAAGAAGTATGTCGCCTCTATGGGTTTGTAGTCTGCTAATATAAACAACGCAGACATGACAGCTACCGTCCATATCTGCGCCACGGGTTGAGGCTGTTTTGAATGTGTGAGTAAACTATCCGGAGCCACCCCCTTTACACAACCTCTTGGATACCGACCTCCCCGGGCGGCGGCGGCGGCTTCGGGTGTCCTAATGGCGGACCCAACAGAACCAGCTCCCGGGAGCTCCGCGAATGACAAAACCGAAGCGATAAATGATGCAGAGCTGGCTCTGAAAGGAATCAACATGCTGCTCAACAACGGATTCAAGGAAAGTGATGAGCTCTTCAGGACATACAGGTTTGTGTGCGTCTTCAGACAGCTTTCAGGTTCAACCGCTGCCTGCAGATCTGTCAACTGATACACCAGAAGAATTCAACAGGCATGAGAAACAGTCATGTTGCTTTTACTTTATATAAGCACCTTATATTTTGGTCACAAGCTGGATTAGTGTTATTTAACTCCAACAGAAAATACTGGCAGCCAGAAAAACCTGTTTATGGACAAATATCTAATGAAATAATGATATAACAGCTGGTTTGTGTTTGATAGCAGGGCGTTGTAGTTGTTTTAACTTTCTTTACTTTATATGTTTGTAAAGTTAAGATAGTCTTTAGGCTGCATCAGAGGTGGGAGGCTTAAAAACATGTTTTCAGGATGTGTATTTATTTCCAGAGCTTGGTATCTTTAAGCCTACATGTTGATTCCACTGAAGGTGGCCCTATAGGTGTCCTGACCCCTGGTGAAAAGCAAAATGTCACAAGTCCCACTAATTGCTTTAAGCACCAAGTGTCATCCTGCTTTGACAGCATCAGCAAGCAAACCTGGAAGGAAGTGAAACAGTGAAATGCTTGGCAGCATAAATCATTATCCAGAGAGTTTCCCTCTTTAAAACTACATAAAGCATTTAAGCTTTGCTATTCAGTTGCAATAGGCCTTGACATGATGAAATCTGTCCCTGTGCTCACACCAGTGTTTCACCTGACTGTTAAATAGATTTGTTGTTGGAATGGTTGCTTGGATCGGATGCATTTTTACAAAGACCCTTTAACTTGTGTTTTATTTATTTTTTCAGGAACCACAGTCCTTTGATGAGTTTTGGAGCAAGTTTTGTGAGTTTTATGGTAAGTAGAGAAGCTGAGGGTGAAGATCTATTTTATATCCCAATTGGCCTTTTGATTTTCATTTTAACCTTAAAAATAACATTTGCATTCTTTTAAAAGCTGACATTTTTTAAACTACAATTTAGAGTGAAACAAAACAGAATTTAAATGTAAAAAAAAATCCATTCTAGCTCAACGCCAACCTTATAAACGTATAGTAAACCGCTCAAACCATACCATATGAAATAATCCAATTTAAAATATCAAATTTTAGAAGGTTTAATCGTTACTAGAACTAAGTTAAAATTTACTAATTTATTTACAACTTAATTCCATAAATTAAATAAGTTACAACCTAGTATTCTACTAATACAGTCATTTTTAGGGGAACTTATTTTTAAATAGAGTTAATTCGGGGCCCTTTTCATACCCATTTTATTTTCTTAAGGGTTTGCATGAGAATTTAAAGTGAGTGTGTATATGCATGTTCATGTAGTTCTAGCTTTAGCAACGCACAATAGGTAAATAGTTAAAGAAGTAGCATCACTTACCAACTCCCTGATTATTGAAATACCTTCCTTTTTGGTGCAAAAGAGACAGGCGTGGTGAAAGAAAGACTGGCTAATGTTAGCATCCTTCCATGAAGAAAGTGAATCATGAAGGAGGAGCAAAACTGCACCCTTTTAAGAGTTTTTTTTTTCGTTCTAACAAAAAGCGCACATGGAAGAAAAACAAGCCACTTTCACACTCCGCATTGTCTGATAGTTTTTAAATGAAGCCCAATACCAACACAAATGGTGTAACTTCAAATTCAACCTGGACAAAATGCAATTAGAAAATATTCCATTTATTTATACAGGTTTACTCAATCATATTCATCAAAAATATTTCTATTTAAGGAAAACCAGCTAATTGCGAGGACTTAACTCTATGCAATCCCTCGCACTAACCATGCATGTAGCGACAGTGGAGAGGAAAACTCCCTTTTAACAGGAAGAAACCTCCAGCAGATCCAGGTTCAGTGTGAGCGGCTATCTGTCGAGACCGACTGGGATTTAAAGACAGAGAAGCAGACAATGATATAAACGAAATAAGTAATTTGGCCTAAGACTTTGATGCTGTGAATCAACGTACACTTGGAGGAGTAACCTAGAAAAGGATTAGAGTAGTCTCCCCACAGGTCCAGGACACCGGTGGTGGAATAAGCCAGAGGGTGAGTGACACTGGGAAAAGTCTGAGAATGAGGGAGGAGATGGGATGGAGGTAGGTGAAAGTAAAGCTTGCATGCCAGGAGCTAAATGAAGGGGACCTTGCAAGGTGATTGGCTTCAGAGAAGGTTTGGCCCCTGAGTTGATTCGCTGGAGCCAAATGAGGGATATCACAGGTGGTTCAGCTGAAGCTGACAAGTGTCTTCCAGATTGAATTTACGCTTAAAGTAGTAGGGACATCATATTTAAATGTCAAATCATTCTGGCTTAAACATGTATATAAATGCACTCTTTATCAGATTATATTATCCCAAAATTTGGAAAATTTCTAATTAAGAAAAAATCCCGTCTTAAAATCTGTTTGTTTTTTTTTTCTTTTATGCAGGCCAGTTAGTTATACATCAGTCTGCACACCTAAATTCGGCCAATCATTTATCAACGGTCATCTGTCAATCAAATTTTTTCGATCATAGCATCTTGATTCATACTGTATGTCGCATCTATTATATGCAACGGTTGAAATAAAAAATGAGAATAAATGAGAACTTTACCATTGAGTTACGTCCCAGTGTTGGCGGAGATAAATGTCTGTGTCTTCGGCAGGCGTAGAGCTAACAGAACTGGCAGCGTTGCGAGGCAAGGGCTCAAACATGTACGGCTGTAAGCCTTCTACACTAAACAAAGCATCTGCCGCCCTGGTGTACTCTTCCACAACAACTTCGTCCCCGCTTTTCTCCTCTAAATAAAAAATGTATGACGAAGGAGACTCATCCACGACCTCTGACACAAAGCTCTCCTCCTCTTGCATGTTTCTGCTGTCCATAGCGTTCCTTGACAGTGTCGTTTCTAAGTCCCCAACTTAGTGCTACTTGTTCTCAATGTAATTTCACATTGGGAACCTACTAGCACTAAGTTGCTAACTGGTTCGCAAGTTCCGGCCACAACCAAACTTGCTTGCAAACCTTCCGCCACAACAATCCCACCCCCTTGATAAACGACCAATCACATTCACTTTATTCACTCGTGTAAAGTCGGGAACCACTTGGGAGAATTCGGAAATGCAACAGTTGGAACAGCCGTTTCCCTACGACTTAAAGCTTCATAAGTCAGATTTCTGCGTGATGACACCTTTAAAGATGTTGCTTATGTTTGATTAAGGAGTTACATAGATAAACTCAGAAGTGCTTACTTTAAACCTGCCTCTTTAAAACTAGTTTAATGTTAACGTCTGGGCCTGCCTACTGAAGCTGCTACCCCCCCCGCAACCCGACCCCGGATAAGCGGAAGAAGATGGATGGATGGATGGATGGTTGGATGGATTAATGTTAAGATGGAACATTATTCTTAAACAAACTTGGAACAAAAATTAAGGGAATCAATTTTTCATCAATAATTTTTTTTTTCTTTATAATGATGCTTATTGGCAACAAATCTTTTACCATTGGAAAGCATCAAGGGTTTTTCTTCTTTAAGGAAAATCTACTTTTTAGTTGAGGATTGAAGCAGTCTGTGAGAGTTGCACCCATAAAGAACCTGCCTAATGCTCTTTAGTAATGCCAAAGGAGCCAAGAGGATTCACATGGGCATCACAAAGTAAAAACTACGTACAGGAAACTAAGCTTTAGGTAACAGCAAAACCTTATGGTATTAGGTACAAAACACTGTTCTAAGGCTTTCATGCTTACCCTATTGGCGTCTGAAGGTGAAAATGGGGATAAGGACGTCTCCAGGTTGAATATGGATTCCTTAAGCACTTTGCCAATAGAGAAGGAGAAAGACGAGAGAGAATTTTAAGAGAGCACTATATAAGAGACCTAACAAACTGACACCCTACCTGAGAGATTTAAAATCGCTCTGTGATTAGCTGTGTCTCTCTTTGGATTGTTATTTAGAAAACAAAAGGTGTTGTAATTCAAGCATATGATGTCATCTCTGCTCTTCTTCTGGACAGCATTGGTTTGGCATGCATAGGCGATCTATCAGTATGTCTAATCAGTATGTTGGCAAAATGTTTAACTGTAAATGGAAGCTTCTCCTTCAATCTATCTGAAGTTAGATTTCAAACAACATCATCCTGTTTTTGGCTACAGAATTATTATTGTTGGTTGAAATAGTGACAATATGCTTACACACAATCCTCCATTTAGCTCATACACTGAGGAAAAAAACAGAGCTAAATACTGTTGATGAATATAAGAAAAGGATCTTTAGAGAAAGCAATTATTAAGATTCTTTCAGAAAATATACAAGACATACGACTCCCCATTCTGTAATCTAATTAAGTTTTAAAAGATAAAAGATTTAATTGTATTCCTGCCTTTGTAGCTTTGCTACTCATCCAAAGATCAAATAATTAAACTTTTATTATTCTCTTAAACAAGTCACAGGTCACCATTTTCTGTTTGTGCTTTGTTTTTAGAATGCTGTAATGACATTTGAAGAGGAGAAAATGCAGACGGCCTTTGATGACCTCAAATCCACAGAGAGATTGTGTGAGAGTGAAAATGCCAGCGTTATTGAAACCATTAAGAACAAGATAAAACGGAGTGTGAGTAACCTTCCTAATCTATAGCTTTACTGTACATGTATATTTATGAAGAGCCTGGAGTGGATGTTTAATGTGCTTTAGCAGGTAGACTCCCAGAGGTCGGGGATGGCTGCTTTGGACCGGCTGCAGAGGCAAATCATCATAGCAGACTGCCAGGTTTACATTGCAGTCCTTTCTTTTATCAAACAGGAGTTGTCAGGTAATATCCCGGAGAATAACTTCAAAAACTATTGTCATATTTTAAATACTGAATGAAGTTTTACTGAGCTCAGCCATTACTCTCTTCCAGCCTATATCAAAGGAGGCTGGATCCTCCGAAAAGCCTGGAAGATGTATAACAAATGTTACAATGACATCACACAACTTCAAGAAGGCAGCAGAAGGAGGGCGTCCGAGCAGCAAGCAGTGCCTCTGCCGTCCACCTCAGATCCATCCCACAGCAGCCGATCCTCCTCAACTGGACCCGGTCGGTCCCAGAGATTGGACGGCATCAGCCCAGAGGTTCTGGACCGGCTGAAAGGTTCTGTCAGCTTTGGTTATGGCCTTTTCCACCTGTGTATCTCCATGGTGCCGCCACATCTGCTAAAGATCGTCAACCTGCTGGGCTTCCCTGGAGACCGCCATCAAGGCCTATCTGCGCTCACTTATGCCAGTGAAAGTAAGGACATGAAGGCCCCGTTAGCTACGTGAGTATGTGAGTGAGCATGTTTAACTGCAGCGCCTGGTAGAAGTATTCACAGCCATTTAACATGCAACATATCATGTGACACCAACACAGAGTGATACATAGATGTGAAGTGGAAGTCAAAATGTATGTTCTGTTCAAGAGCTGTGAACTCCAAGAGTCTATGCTCACTGTAGAAGGCCTTGAACATCCAGGGAGCGGCTCCTTATGGGTTGAGTTAGCCATCTCTGATCTAAACCCTTAGAGTTCTAGCTGTATGTTCAGGATCATTTTCCACCACAACTGTCATGTTTAAGCTCCTTAAGATTCCCATCCACTTTAATCAGCTTTTTTGTTTATGTTTTCCCCTAACTTCTGCTATGAAATCGTAAGCCCACAGCATAAAGCATCCATTATAACAATAGCATCGATATCACAGTTCTGTAACAAATTCATTGCCACAAACTTTTCTTTAGATTAGATTTAGACCAAAACAGCTAGGTGATCAAAATTAATAATAATAATAAAAACAAAATTTTTAAACATAGCACAGGGATAACTTTGTCCTTATTAGGAATGTAAACAAACATTCAACTTCCGAACTTAATACAAGAGAAAATCTGGTTTTTAAGACAATTTCTACGTCTTAAATAATGATTAGATGGTCGATGCGACCAATTGACTTTAGATTAATTCATTAATGGATAATTTACATTCCTAGTCCTTAAACATTGTACAACTTGACCTGTCCAGTTCACAGGCTATGTGTGCTCATACTGCATGCTTTGTGATCATAGAACTAGAGAATGGTGGTTTATAACTTAGACCGTTCTTCTGAACTCTACTGGGATCACACTAACTACAGTGGAGCTCACTCACACTGGTCACTGCTGCCAGCCTGGGCCAACTATGGTTCAGGCTGCAGAAAGGTTGCTTCACTTCATGCTCTTTCCAGACATTGTTGGGCATAACACATCATCTATTCACATAAATATAATTTGTTTCTCTTTTAATGTTTTTTTTTTTTTGTTTAAAAAAAGAAAAATTCAAGTTGGTAGGCTGTTTTTTTTTTTTTCAGAAATACACCAGAACACATGTGGAGGACTTTCTCATGGGAATAATAAAACTCTGTACTGCTCCTGCAGGCCTTTGAAATGTATTTGGTTCTTTAAGTGTCAAACTCTCTCCTGTCCTGACAGTTCAGAGTAGATCTCGATTAGTGACACCGTTCCGCTGTGGATCAGGGCAGTAATATTGATGGAGGGACTTTAGCCCCCATTCCAAGTCAGTTGGTTGATCATGAGGAGGATGGAACACAAAGTTAGATCACAAAGCATTAAGGGGGTCATGGTATGGTATGTTCAGGGTGATGAGCATTTTTAGTTTTCCATTGGTTCCCTTTTAAGCTTTGGTTGTTTTTTTGATCGTCTATAAATTCTAGATTTTTGAGGTGGTTAGATTAAAAAAAAATTTGTTGCTAGCAGACTCTTCCACCTGAGCTGTGGAATTTGGCCAAAGAGCTTCTTCTCTAATTAACGCTGTCCTCATCTAGGCGGTCCTTCAAGGGGCCTTTACAGAATAGATGCATTTTTGCGATCGTTTTCTTTCCACCTTACAACTGTGCAAAACTTTGTGTTGGTCTTTTATGCAAGACTACTGTACTGCAGGGGCAGAGCGCCGCTATTTCAGTGCTGGTAGTACTTACCGGAAGACGTTTCCAAACAGGAACTTATTGAAGTCATATGAAGTCCATTTTCCTTTGGTTTGGGTTTCTCATCCATCAATGTTAGGTTTAGGGCTGTTCCTCTAGGAGAGGATACAATTAAGGTATTCACTTAGGTTCAGTTATTATGTCTACTAGGGATGGGACGATTTATGAAAACCGTCCGAACCGTTCGGTTCGACTGTCCTGGTTCGATTCGCGTGTGTTTCGTTCAGTTCATGCGCTGCTCCTTTTTCTCATAGGCGAACCGTTTACACTCCAGAGCAAAAAGTGGCGGTACTGCGACCAAAGCCAACCACTAGTAGTAAACAAGAAGAAGAAGAAGCGAAGCAGCTTAGCCGGGTGTAGCAGGGAAAAAAATCAGTTGTTGTGGAGAATTGTGTCGGACTGGCGAGTGGGAAAGAACAGGAGTTGGAAGACGCGCCAGCAGCACTTTATAGGTCTGCTGTATGGGAGCGCTTTGCATTTAGAGTGACCTACGATGAGGGCGGAAAGAAAGTTGTGGATAAAAGTGCAACAGTGTGCAAGCATTGTGCAACGCGTTTTGTTTATGCTAACAGCAACATGACCAACATGTCATGCTAACCCCGAAATCCCTCATACTCCGTCAGCAACCCCCGCTCCGCCCCGCTGCGCTCCAGACCGGCTGCTCAAAGCAAAGCCTACAGCCCCCACTGTGGCTCCCGTCCGCTCCCCTCTGAGTCCCTTTGAGATAGTAGAGAGCATGCGCGAGATGATTCAATTCAAAGCAGCAAAACATACGGAAATGATCCAGGGTTTCCGCGGATCATTTAAAATAATTACAATCCATTATTTTTTGGGGGATTTTTTCATAAATTACATAAATTTTTATGGGATTTCGGTGTAACAATCAACATATACCGAATCGAACCGAACCGAGAACCCTGACCACGAAACCGTGAATCGAATCGAACCGTGGATTTTGTGAATCGTTCCACCCCTAATGTCTACTAAGGTTAGGTTTATGTTTCCCCCCTAACTTCTGCTATGAATTTGTGTGTGTTTGACAGAACTGTTTTGGCAAAAACAGACTATCAAGTAAACTGAGAACATTGTTCAAAAAGCTCTACAAACAGCAGTCAGGGGTCATTAATGTAAAAAAAAAGCTTGAAATTTAAGCCTTAATTGAAAATTTAAGATAAAATATTTTAAGAATTTGGGAAAGTTAACCAACTTCCAACGTATACTTTCTCCATGTATTGTTAAAAAATGGCGGTGTCTTGCCAATGCAATAGTGTTCCTCCAGTGAAAGAGATTGAAATTTGCATTTGTAACAATATGGGAAACATAAAAAAGGGTTTAAAGGGTTAAAACACCTTTTCAAGGAGCTGTATGTATTATTCTTGGAACAGAATGGAGTCTAAGATTTTGATGGAAACTCCTAAACTAAAAAAACGAAAGCAAAAGGAGTTAGTGAAGGAAAGACAAACGGCTGACTAAAGCTCTGCAGTACTGCCTTATTATTAAATCACTTCTGTATTTTAGTTTCATAATTGTTTTATTAAAAATCACGAGTGTGTTCTCCAAAATTCCCATGTCGGTTTGTTTTTAAGGACTCTTGGGTATTTGGAATCTCCCCACTCTGAATTAAATAACTAATCAGTTACATTTTTATGAGGCCGCATCATCAAAGCAATAAAAAAAAAAGGAGATTATAAGTTCTTATTCTCTACTTCACTTTTCAGCCTTGCCCTGCTGTGGTACCACACCGTGGTTCAGCCCTTCTTTGCTCTGGATGGCTCAGACACACAAGCAGGATTAATGGAAGCTAAATGCATTCTTAAACAGAGGGAGGCCACCTATCCAAACTCCTCCCTCTTCATATTTTTTAAAGGCAGAGTTCAACGCCTTGAGGTAAATACGCTCAAAATGAAATCAGTTGCTTTTCTCTTGTACTTTCACCTTAGCTCACACAATTGTGTTCCTGTTTATTTTCCAGTGCCAGATCAGCAGTGCCTTGAAGTCCTTCAATGACGCCTTAGATTTGGCCTCCGACCAGAGGGAGATTCAGCATGTGTGTTTATATGAAATAGGTAATATTTTTCTACCTCATGTTTTTGACCTGCACATGTGACACTTCTGGTAATTTTTCTCATGGATGGCTGTTTCAGGTTGGTGCAGCATGATCGAACTCAACTACGGAGAAGCCTACAGAGCCTTTGAGCGATTGAAGGCAGAATCTCGCTGGTCCCAGTGCTACTATGCCTATCTAACAGGCGGTAATACAGAAAGGAAATCAAGCCTTATGACTCATGCAAAACTTTTTCTACCTCTGGAACATTTTCCACATTTTGCACGTTGCAATCTCATCTCATGTTATAGACCATCTTTAGCGCTGGTCCTTGAGGTCTGGTGTCCTGCACATTTTGACTACTTCTCTGCTTCAACCGACCTGAGTCTAATAATCAGGTCATTAGCAGGACTCTGGAACACTTAAATGTGTACCGAGTATGTGTTTGGAAGCAAAGAGACATCTTAAAGGTGCAGGACAATGCATCTCGAGGGCTGGAGTAGAAGATCCTTGTTATAAACTAACATTACTTACGGGGTTATTGGGATGTGGAAAGAAACTTTTTTTTAATACTTTAAGAAATAGAAGTCTGAAAAAAATGTGCCATACTTTGCTGTTCTGATGTAATTGCAAATAACTATAACGTATTTTGGTAGCTTTGCAAGTCTTGGAACTGAAATTTTCCTTTGATTGGGCTGTTTTAACATAGGATGGTTTTCTGATCTGATGGTAACTGTATCTTTAGGCCCGATGACGTACTAGGTACCATTTTCCAGTCTGTTGCAGCATCTGTGCTATTCTTCCAGGCTTGTCTTTATTTTCCACTCTTTGTGTTGATCAGCTTTAAACAGCTTTTCTCTCTTTTTAAATGAAAAACATTCCACCAGAATGATGCCTTCACTGCTGTGTTTTACTGTCTGAATTCTCTAGTTAGGGTTTTCACTACATGAACTCCAGTTGATATACACTCACCGGCCACTTTATTAGGTACCCCATGCTAGTAACGGGTTGGACCCCCTTTTGCCTTCAGAACTGCCTCAATTCTTCGTGGCATAGATTTAACAAGGTGCTGGAAGCATTCCTCAGGGAGTTTGGTCCATATTGACATGATGGCATCACACAGTTGCAGCAGATTTGTCGGCTGCACATCCATGATGCGAATCTCCCGTTCCACCACATCCCAAAGATGCTCTATTGGATTGAGATCTGGTGACTGTGGAGGCCATTTGAGTACAGTGAACTCATTGTCATGTTCAAGAAACCAGTCTGAGATGATTCCAGCTTTATGACATGGCGCATTATCCTGCTGAAAGTAGCCATCAGAAGTTGGGTACATTGTGGTCATAAAGGGATGGACATGGTCAGCAACAATACTCAGGTAGGCTGTGGCGTTGCAACGATGCTCAATTGGTACCAAGGGGCCCAAAGAGTGCTAAGAAAATATTCCCCACACCATGACACCACCACCACCAGCCTGAACCGTTGATACAAGGCAGGATGGATCCATGCTTTCATGTTGTAGACCCCAAATTCTGACCCTACCATCCGAATGTCGCAGCAGAAATCGAGACTCATCAGACCAGGCAACGTTTTTCCAATCTTCTATTGTCCAATTTCGATGAGCTTGTGCAAATTGTAGCCTCAGTTTCCTGTTCTTAGCTGAAAGGAGTGGCACCCGGTGTGGTCTTCTGCTGCTGTAGCCCATCTGCCTCAAAGTTCGACGTACTGTGCGTTCAGAGATGCTCTTCTGCCCACCTTGGTTGTAACGGGTGGTTATTTGAGTCACTGTTGCCCTTCTATCAGCTTGAACCAGTCTGGCCATTCTCCTCTGACCTCTGGCATCAACAAGGCATTTCCGCCCACAGAACTGCCGCTCACTGGATGTTTTTTCTTTTTCGGACCATTCTCTGTAAACCCTAGAGATGGTTGTGCGTGAAAATCCCAGTAGATCAGCAGTTTCTGAAATACTCAGACCAGCCCTTCTGGCACCAACAATCATGCCACGTTCAAAGTCACTCAAATCACCTTTCTTCCCCATAGTGATGCTCGGTTTGAACTGCAGGAGATTGTCTTGACCATGTCTACATGCCTAAATGCACTGAGTTGCTGCCATGTGATTGGCTGCTTAGAAATTAAGTGTTAACAAGCAGTTGGACAGGTGTACCTACTAAAGTGGCCAGTGAGTGTATATGGATTTCTGATGGCAATAAGTTGCACTGGATTTTTGATGTTAGAAAAAGAGTAGCAAAATATAAATAGACTTTACGCTTATGCATTACATATCTTGCGTAACATTATTATTTTTGCAAAGCACCGCACTTGTTCTGTTGTGACCTTTAACCTGCAGCTCTTGCTGTGTTTTCCAGTGTGCCAAGGGGCCACAGGTGATCTGGAGGGTGCTATATCTACCTTTAAAGACGTTCAAAAACTTTTCAAACGCAAGAATAATCAAATAGAGATGTTTTCCTTGAAGAGGGTAAGCAATCATCTTGCTCTTGTTTGTTTTTTGTATTTTTTTTTTTTGCTCTGAAACTGGTCCTTTTCCCATTTTTCCTCAGGCAGAGAACTTCCAGAGCCCAAGTCTATCCAAAGAGCTCTGCATCTTGTCGGTGATTGAGATTCTGTATCTGTGGAAAGCCCTCCCCAACTGCTCCTCTGCCAACCTGCAAACAATGACTCATGGTAAACGCTGTAAAATACGGCACCTGGTTAAGAGGGTGCCATCTCTCTTCTGAATGCTGTTAGGTTTTCGTTCAGAGCACTGATTGTTTTTGTTCCAGTGTTGCAGGGGATTGAAGATGCGTCATGGGCTGGCCTGAAAAACCTGCTCCTTGGTGCCATAAGCGGATGTCTACTTAATACTAAAGATGCCGTGCAGGTAATGCATGTAGGAAATAATGCAAGGTTTTTCTGATTCACGGCAGAGTCTTAATTAATCCATGCACTCATACGTACCCTATAATAATGGATTTTATGATTGGCTGAACTTTTCTTCCATGTTTTCCATTACAAATTTTCCCCCACAGTATTTCCATCTGGCTGCAAGGGACGAGGTTGGACGTCAGTGCAATTCTTACGTCCAGCCCTACTCCTGCTATGAAATGGCCTGTGTCCTGCTGAATTCCCCAGAGGTACAGCTTCTGTTGGTTTTACAGAGTGAGCTTTACCTGTTACCTGACAGAAATACTTCATTTTGTACTTTTTTTGCAGACTGCAGCAAAGGGTCGAACTCTAATGCTTCAGGCTAAGGTACTTCAAGTATTTGTTGTTTCAGACTTTTTCTCTTTTGCTTTGCAAGTTCTTATAATTTCTTCTTTCTAGCTGAATTAATATGATGAACAAATGTTCTGGGGTAATCAGACTATTATTTACAACAAGTCTAATAGCTGGTTGGAGAAGCTATAATGAATTCATTTCATGTTAAAATAGACTAAAAGAACATGTGGAATCAGCTTTTTTTCACTTCTCAGAAATGGAAACCATAAGGACACATTTATCTAGACAACCATGTTAAGAAACAGGAAGGCTTTTGCACCACTGAAGCTGAGGTTGGTGTAAGGTTTAGTGGTCTAGCTGTGCATTGAAACGGATGCTCTTCAAGTCTGATTGCATACCTGAAGAGGTTAGTGGACAGAAAATTAGTCGTATGAAAAAATATTTATACCCAATGAAATATGTAACTTTAGGGGACGGATAAAGTAGAAGTATTGGTAAGTATACTGGCAAGTTTGTGAAGCTGCCCTTGGCCACTGTCACACTGCTCAGCTTAAATAAAAGCTCTTTTCTGATGACTGGAGCTTTACATTCAAGAAAGCAGGGAGGAACTTTATTTTTTACTTTATACTGACTGGTATTTTTTATTAACATGTATATTATCATTAGACACTAAAGTATGAGACAGTTAAGACAACGTGAGTTTATTTTTAACCATCTATGGCAGTTTTAAACCCATAGAAATAATTAAACAGAACATTTTTGCTGCAATACCTAAAGCCTGCTATCTGCTGAATTCAATGTATTTAAAAAAACTACTGCCATCTGTGCTTTTTCTTTACCTTCATTTAAACCTCTGTTCAGAAAACAAATGTTAGTTATCTTAGTGATAATTTTTGCCACAAGTGATGCTGTGAATCCACCTCACTGAAAAAAAACATAATTGTCTGATTTTTGGTCTAATTTAAAATCAGCCTGGCCTAGATAAATGTATAAAACAATGTGTTTTACTCAAAGGAATCATCTCTCTGACAAAATGTTATTTATTTAGAGAATATAGTAAATCATGAAGTTGAAATTCTTTTTGATTTAAAGTAGAAATATTGATAATAAAAAATAACTTGAATGGGCCAACTTGGATCTAGTTTTATTTGCTTAAAGATAATTGATTAAATTCCTGAAGTGTTCCTATAGAAGTTACTTGCCTTTTTGTTAAGATTATAGATTTATTCCTGTCGTTCTGGGTTATGAAGAAGAATTTTATTCAATTATTTATATAGATCTCTTTTTGCAGGAGGACTACGCTGGCTATGACTTTGAGAACAGGCTCCATGTTCGGATTCACTCTGCACTCGCGTGTATGAGAGGAGCAGCCCAGCCTTGATATTGGATCAGCATCTTAAACTAAATCAAAGTACAAGTGGGAACCCTGATGTTTTATTGTGTTTTTATTTGAATGTCTATTGGTCAAAAGGTCTCCATGAAACACAAAAGTTTCATGGTGGAACATTAAGTTTTACAGACCTGCAGCTGTACTGCACAATGAATTAGCACATATGTTTCTTTCTATTCTCAGTGGTTTGACTTAAAAGATAGTTTGCACTTGTTTAATGTATTTGGCAGATTTGTAGAAATCTGTCAAAGTTCACAGTAATTAGAGAAACAAAGTTATATTCTGTGAACGCAAAGAAGTGCTGTTAAAGTTTCTGTTGCCTAAAGTAGAAAGGACCTTAGTCTTGGTTTCTCATCATTTGTGTTTTAAAGAATTTGCTAAACCATTGCCATAATATATGACTATTGTCCTACTTAAAGCAGAGTTCTTTTTGGGTGTAAATATGTTTTGAATGCATATTTATAAAAATGTGCAGAAATGTTCCACTTCTAAGTGGTGTAAATACACTCTAAAACACTTTGTCAACAAGTTTTACTGTATATTAGAAGATTAATAAAAATACTGTTGGAAACACAAACTTTCTTCAGCTATCAAGCCATTCTAAAGCAGAGTGAAGGTATTCAAATGGAGCAGTTACTGCAACTCGAGGACATCTCTGAAGACATATCTCCAAGTAAAACCCTCTTCCATAGGAAACAAAAACAGCCCCAGTGCAACAGCATTAATGCAACACTTAGTTATTTTTGAGCTGCTGTTGTGGTTTGAGAATACATTTGAATATTTGTAAACAATTCAAACATAATGGTGTCATGCCTCTGAAATACTTTATATAAATATATCTCTTTAGCTTTCAGAAACACCTTATAGCTGTAATGCATTTGGATCTATATAGTTTAAACTTCAAGTCAGATTAAAAAAGGCTTCATTTTACAGAGGCTTGTGAAAAAGTTACATTTTAAATGGTGTCTTTCTTTCTGCTTGTTTAATGAAACCAGATGATTTGCCTTACTTTTGGATTTAGGTTCTAGAATAAACATCCAATGTGTTTGGGTATATAACTTTTGAATTTATTCTACAGAATAATTTGTGCCAGGTTCCGCTACATGATTTATTTGAAGGGAATACCAGGGTGTCCATCTGATAACATGATTAAACCAAAGTAAAAAAAGGTAAACTAAATTCTTTTATTAGGCAGCATAACTGTCAGATGATAGAATGCTAGTACCATGAGCCTTAAATAACAAGCATTCAGTTCTTGACTTTTTTTGTTGATGGTATTCGAAATAAAAAATAAAACATGCTGAAAGAGGTGGTATTTGTATAAGCCCTCGTCACTTTGATAGCAAAGGAGGCTCAAAAAATAAATCTGGTGGAAAAGATTCTTTTTAATGGTCATCTTATCAGTAAGTCCACTAGTGTTTAATCTGAATATTAATCCACCTGTTCTGTGAAGGCCTCAGCTTTGTTATTGAACATTTGTAAACATTAGCCAGGTCTAGGAGAGAGGACTGTTGAGACATTTAAAGCAGAGGAAAATCATCAAAGTGTATCAAACATTTCATTGAACACAATTCAATTAATCTCCTCAAAAAACCAAGTAGAAGATCTAAGAACCCACCCAGACAGACTCTCACCTAAACAGACAGGCCAGTCAAGGAGTTTTCTTCCAAATTTGGCAAGGTGAGTGAAACAACCACAATCAATAAACATCACTTCTACGCAAAAACATCTTAGCAGCTCCATGTTGTGATCTTTGGCTTCATGACGGAATTTGTCTGAGTTGATATGAATATAAGTGGAGGCAAATAAAAGACAATACTGGGAGAAAATGAGTCATAGCTGCAGCAGATTGGACGATCTTCAGTATGTCAGTAGATTACCGTAATACATATGGGTACAACACATTTAGGATGTTTCATCATTTTATTTTTCAAACCAAACTATCACGGTATAAGCAGTTCTCTTTATGGATTAATTTAGCAATAAGACATGTTCACTAGGATATATGTATATTAACAATTAAATATAGCAACTTTTATTATAAGCACAGAAAAAAAAAAAAACAAACACATTCATGTTAACACCAGATGTCTGCACCACTCATCGTAAAAAGTGGGGAACAGGAACATCTGTTATCTACCCTAAAATCTGCATTGCATAATGATATGCATCCACAAGCGTCAATCACTGCTAAAGCAGTTTTTAAGGGAAATTAGCTCAGGCCAAGCTGCTTGAAGAGCTGATTTCCACACACTGTACCGACACTGATGAGTGAAATGTGAAATGTTCTCATCTCTGACTAGAAATAATGAACACACTTGAGTGAAACTAAGGTTGCTCTGTACACACTCCATTTACCCAACACTCAGTAGCTCTAGAGCATGTTCTAGTCATTTCACTTCATGCTTATACCTTTACATCAGTGAAAAAGTTAAGAGGTTTGTGCTTTTTCTGTTCACATAGATCTACTTTATTCCCCCCAGAATGAGTTTTAAACATAATCGCCTCTTCCATACCGATTCCAAAATTAAGCTGGTAATGCATCACCAGAGTAGCAGCAGTTGGCCAAAGGTAGTAAAATGGAAATCCATTAATATTTTATTTAGTAAATGTCAGGCAGCTGAGCGTAATTCCGATCCCAGTAGCCTTTTGTGTAGAGCCAGTCCTGAGCCTTGTTGTGAGGGTTGGGTCCTTGCTTAAACCACCTGCAGAATGATGAGAAAAGAAAATCTATGAAAAAAACAAATAAAAGCTCCAATAAAAAATTGGGAGCGCTTTATATAATGGTTGTCCTCAAGAGGGCAGTAGAGTGTAACTCTTCACATGAGTGCAAGCTGTGACCAGAGATGAAAGCAAAGCTTTAAAAAACAAAACCTTGTGCAAAGTGAGGAGCTCCTTCTTAATATTGCTAATAGAAATAAGTTTATCAGAACATAAGGGAGTGTTAAGATAAATAAAGACCCAAAAAGACAGATTATCAAAACCAAACTAGATCATTATTCCAACCAACCTTATTTTCCATTCTTCAGTGGATTTAGAGCGGTTTTTATGGGCTGTGCGCTGCTTCTCCTCCAGTCTCTTCTTCTCTGTGCTTGCCAGATCTAGAACACATAAATAAAGGAAAATCACCACCTCTAGGGATGCAATTAGGGAGTTGCAGCAGGGCAAAGAATTGGGTCAGGATACCTATATCTCCATTCTCCATGGCACGAATGTCGGGCCTTAAGCGGCTATCAGTGGGAGGAAGGACCTCTTCCATGTTCTTGTCCAATTCATTCAGTTGCATGGCAAAGGTGGAGAATGCATAGAACTGCAAGAGGGAGACACGGTTTAGCTCAAAAATCTCAGCACTATCTCTGCCATAGACTACGCTGCACCTTCGCTGAGTTTTCCGGTCGAGGGGCAATTTTCCAGATAAGCTCACTTCCAGGGATCACCTGAACTGTCTCGGCATCAGGTGGAGGCTTTTCTTCTGACTCCTCATCAACGTTGCTCTGAGGCTGTTGAAGCAGGACATGAAATTATTAGCCTAACCTTCACGTACCAAAAATGCACATTCACATAATGATGAGAAACTTATTTATCAAGTTATTTGATTCCTTATTAACCCATCTTTGCAGTTTATGAACCTTGTGGAGTAATATATATATATACCCATGCACCAAGGGTGTGTGGGGGCATGGGATCAGAGATTGCATGAATGACAAGAGTAGATTTGACTTTTGAAAGTCCTGAAAGTGTTGGCTGCTCAGTGGCGCAGTAAGTAGCACTGTTGCCTTGCAGCAAGAAGGTTGCGGGTTTGATTCCTGTTAATTGCCTTCTCTAAATTCTCCTTAGGTGTGAGTGTGTGCAGGAATCATTGTTTGTCTTGTTGATTGGTGACCTGTCCAGGGTGTACCCTGCTGGAAATAGGCACCAGCACCCCTCGCGACCCTACTTGGGATTAAGCGTGTCAGAAGATGGATGGATGGAAAATCCAATGCCAGAAGATGGCAAAAGTGCACCTACTGTATATCTACCACATTTCATTTGATATCCAGTTTTGCTGCTAAGCGTTCATGGAGCAGTGTGCAGAAGTAAGCGCCTGGTTAACCTAACTTCCTGCACCAGCTGCTAAATGGCTTGCCATCTTGCCCTGTCTCCTCCAGCCATGCCCAGCGCCATTTATTTTTGAGACCTTTATCTAAGCTCGTGACATCTTCCCCGGAGTTCATGAACTGCATTGTGCCCACTCCATGCAATTCCGTTCTCTCTATCGTGCTTCTCTCCAAACACAAAGTTTCATTTACCGGTATTTATTTTTTGACTTTTTACACGTCTCTAGTGGAATGGAACTGTAAACGGCATAAGGTGACTTTCCATGTAGAATTTCAGAATTGTACCACAATCTATCTGGCGACTAGAGCAAGAAACGAGAGGAGGAGGTACACTCTTTCCTAAGACCCACCCTTTTCTTCTTCTGATTGGCTAATACTATTAGTTTCAGAGCGCTCATTGGCTGACAAACGCAAGAGGGGTTTTCATTGTCTTTTTTCAAATTTATTTACCATCAATTCATTTTCGAGTGATTTTTATTTTTTTTTTACCCATGGGCAATTGCTATGAGCCAGAAATCCCGCCTTGGGCTGGAATACGTTAATCCCTGTGTGTATATTGTACATTGCATTGGATTTCTCCATCTGCTGTGTTGGCATACCACATAATGCAATAGCAGCAGAAAACATCATTTTGGTGACATACGTCAGGTTGTATTTAGCTGCAGTACTATTGCTGACAATAGTTCACATTTTCCTGACACTTTAAACCATCATAAAAATATCTCCACCGCTCCCTATTAGCTTTAGAATCTCAGCCACTGTGGATATTAAGAGCCTTTAGAGTCCAACCAACTGGCCAAATATACTACGAATATGCACAGCATGAATGGCTCACTGTAGTGATGAGATACTTTCTCATAGATATTAAAAACAAGTCAACAAAATGTGTAGCTTGAAAAAACATTCAGCAATACAAACAGTTTCATGAGAGTTTAAGTTCTGCAGATGATCCTAAACTTCCTCACTGCTTGCCTAAGCCTCTGAACTCAATAAGCGTTTATCATGAATCATCAAAATCCATATTCTGGCTTTAACATTTAAGGCTGGAGCTGAGTAAACCCCCGTTTTTTTTTTTTTTTGTAATTTCATACTTGTCTGTAAATCACTATAACAGGTGAAAACAGTTTGGTTCACCAGGTAAAACCTTAACAGTCTCTTATGAAAGCTAAAACTTTTTTAAACAATTAGATGAAGCACTTGGATTTGTAAACAACTCTTACCTCTTTGTTGCTTTTTTTTTCCTCCAAGTTTTTTTTATCCATCTTTTTGTGGGCATCAAAATTTGCTGGGTCGACTGTGTACAGACACTCAGTCCATTTTCCATATATTGCGCAGACCTTCTTTTTACTGCCAACAAAAACATCTGATGTTATCAAACCACAGCTTCTGCTAAAACCTGTTATCTGTAAACAAAGGTGTTGTTTTTGACAGCATAGATATAAACATTTTATCTTGCAATATGGCAAATATCTATATTTAATGAGACACCTTTTGTCTTGAATGTATCCTTCCACTTTATGGAGCTCTTTTCCAAAGAGACCACATGGTTTGAATGTCATGCTGCACCTCTCTCCAGTTCTGAAACATAACAACGGCCTGTTTATGGATTCTCTTTCACTTTTCTCACTCTGCATGTGTTCATTCAAAATTTATAATTTTGTTCACTCTGCTCTGTTGTAATTCCATGTTACATTCCAAAAATTAATCAGACAAACTTAAAGGTAGATTGACATTCTACTGCAGAGCCGAAAAAAGAAAAATATTGCATGCAAATTAATCAGCAAGGGACTTTGCAAAGACTGGGGATTGCTTTACTTGTGATTGATGACTTCCACGTTCCCATACTGCTCAATCCAAAGCTGACCAACAATGATGTTGTGGACACAACAGGTGGGGTTTGTCCAGGTGTATGATTCATTATATCTGTGAAGATTAGGCATCACCCAGTGATGAGGGATCACCCAATCTAATAAATAATATTAACTTCTTAGTAAAACAAGCTAAACTCACTTGGGTAGCTCCAGGGTGATGGTTCCTTTGGGCTCAGCCTCTATGCTCTTCCCCCAGAACTTCAGTTTGGGATAAATGGAACCATGAAAGAGAAAATCCTCCTTAAGGCCCTCAGCGTGAAAGGCACTGATCGGAG